AGTAATACATAATTGTAAAACCATAGAAAGTCATCTGGAGCAATTAAATTGCTGGGTGCTATATTTTAGTAATCTGTAAATCAAAATAATTTATAACAAGTATTTTGGTGATGCATCTTCCTACAAAGAAGTTGTTTCTCAACTCAAACTCCAAACACTATTTAGTATTACACATAGAATTTATTAAACTTGAATTTATCAAAGGTTCTTAATTTTTACTAGCTTTACTAAACTTTAAGTTTATGGAATGAAGTGTTATCATGTTATCATGTTATAATTAAAGTATTTTTCAAATTGAGAACAAATCAATTTTAGATTTTTGTTACAACCTTTGCTTATTTATTTTAAAGGGATCCCTAAGTGCTACAAAGATATGATCTCATATGATAGAGCATTAAAAAAAAAAATGTTTGATGTATATTATTTTTTCTAAAACGTAATAATGAACACACACTAACAAATTTAATTTTCAAAAAAACGCTTTTCTTCGATTAAAAAAAATGCACCTTGTCCAAAGTTTATTGACTCTATTGCCTCAAAAAACTCACGTTAGTACGTCAAATTAAACAAAGTAGACAAATGTCATTATTGCAAACTTATTGTTGGTAATTAAATTTAAAAGTAAAGTCGTTTTTTTTCAACTAACACATAATAACTTACAAGAATAAGTTTTGTAGCATTTTGTGAAAATATATTTGTATATTAAAATTTTTTTTATAATATTTATTTATATATTTGTGTTGTAAGGGCAATTCCACGGCTAAAAATGAATAGAAGTCAAATTTTAAACTCTTTTTAGTCAGTTAAAAACAAATGAATATTGACTTAAACATATGAAAGTTTATTTAAAATATTTCCTTGGTAAAAAAATAAATTTATTTCAGTAATTTTTATGGTTTCAAAAGTGACGGTTACACTCATTTTTGCTTGATAAAAAAATAATGATTGTAAAATGTTTTAGTTAAATTAATATTTATGTTAAATTGCTATACTTTTTTGGTTCAAATTGATAAGGTTGAATAGACATTTTATTAGAAATTAAACTAAGACAGGGCTCGAATTAATGCAAAAAAATCTAATCGCGAAAAATTTTTTTTTTTTTGCTCTCTCCCCTTTCCCCTCTCTCTTATAGCTCTCTCCCCCCTCCCCTCTCTCTTATAGCTCGCGCCGATGTGCGGTAATGGGGGAAAAAAATTATCGTCAATAAATCAAAAAACATCGTCAAAAATTTAATAAAAAATTAGATACCACGTTTTTTATAATTTATTGTTTCTTGAATAAAGGACTAATAAAAGTTTAAATATAATTAAGTTTTTCATTTAAGTGGTTCATGTTTTTATTCAATTTTTCTATTTCAAGTTTTCCAATAAAAGATAAAACAAAAAAATTTGGTTTAATAAATCGAATTATAGTTCATGTTTAAAATAAGGCTTAAAAACCTTAAAGTAAAAAAATTGCTGGTTTTTATTAGCATTTTTATATTGTTTGAAAAAAAAACTAATAAAAATGAATTAACTAATAATATATTAATTAATAATTAAATATTAATTCTTTTTTATTAGTTTTTTTTTTTTCAAACAGTATAAAAATGCAAATAAAAGTCAGTAATTTTTTTGCTCTAACGTTTTTAAGCATTATTTTAAACATGAAGTTTTGATAAACAAAGATAAAAACCAACTTTTCAACTTTTCGCTTTAACGACCTTGTAAAAATTTTCCACGCAGAGATTTAATGTAATTTAAATTCAAAAATGTTTTACGTTGAATGAAAATTGAAAAAAAAAAACGAGTCGCGAAAAGATTTTTTTTAAGAAAAAACTAATCACAAAAATGTGTGTAGCAATCGCGATACGCTTAATACGAGCCCTGTAAGACTTTTTTATAAGTTCTAAACTATTTCAAACTATTACTTAATAACTTTTTTTTAACGACGTCTTTCAACCGAATGCTATTATACTGTTTTTGCAAAACTAATTTAAAAAACTTGATTAAAACTTAACTATTTAATCACGACTTTTTTTTACTTGAAAATCGAAGTAGATATTCTAAAGTTGTTGTGACGTACTAACGTTATTTTTAACGACTAACAATCGAGTTTCAATGGTGAAAAAATAAAATCAAAATGGAGTTGTTTTTTAGTGATTTCGGCAATTGCTTTTTGTTAGCATGCATTTATTATTACAATTTAGGGAAAAAGAAAAAAAACTTACATATTTTTTTTTATGCTCTTTCATATGAGATTATATGTTAGGAGCACTTAGGGATCCCTTTAAGCATAAGAGATCTTAAACAGTTGGTATACTATTGACCAGTAATGGTATTCCCATTTTCAACATATATACTAAATAAATGACATTTATTATTTTGAAATCTTTTATTTTATAATCGGTAACAAAAAAATTCTCCAGATCTCTCTTAATTAAATTATTTCTAAAATAGATTTTATAAATATAATGATAAAAATGACTTCAAATTGTTTTTTGTTTTTTTTTTGTATTTTAAACTTGGTCAATTGTTTTTTTGCAATTGAGTTTATTTTCATAATTTATTGAAACACTATGGTATTCTGTTTTGTAATAAACAATATAGTGTTCTAAAAAATCATATATCATACCCAAGACTTTTATTTTTTAGTTATACTTTTAGTTTTTTAGTAATATCAACAAAATTTGATTTTTGAAAAACTTCAACATATCCACAAAACTGGATTTTCCTTGAAAAAAAGACTTTTCTAGAAAACTCAAAGATTTTTCTTGTGAACAGCAAGAAGAAATAATAAAAAACAATAAAAGAAAGAAATAAAAGAAAAAATAAAAAAATTAAATTCAGTTCAGTTTAATCAAAATTGCTGCATGAGTAATTTTTCGGACAATATTTTGAAAAAAAATTAAAAAATGGATCTCATATAGAACGTAGGAAGATTTTAGTTCACAGGAGGAATAGTAATCAAAAAGTGAAAAAAAATTAAGTTTGATATCGTTATGAATAAAAATCTCCATCATAAAAAAATAGTGATGAAAAGAAAAAAGAAACTCTAATCACGCCAATAATTATGTTTATTAATTTTTCATAAATGTCTTAAAAAGCAAGGAAGATAAAAAGTTTAAAAATAACATAATCACAAAGAAAAATTTACTTGATGGCAAAGTGTTGCAGTTGAAAAAACCTTGCTTAAGTCAAAAAAATATATATAAAAAGCAAGTTCATTTATTATTTATAGTATTTTTTTTAATGTGATCTAAAATCTCCAAAATTGTGTTCTTTAGGTTCACTATTAGGAGTAGTAAAATTGTCTTCGTTAGCTTCACTATTAGGAGTAGTAAAATTGTGTCCTTTAGGTTCAATATTAGGAGTAGTAAAGGTTTTTAAAAGTTATATATATAAAAGAAAAGTTTCTTTAAGTATTAAAAAAACCTGAAGCAAAAAAATTTTAACATCTAAAGCTTTTGTTTTGACATAATATGCTGAAAAATTCATGTTAATTCCAAATAAAAGAATTTGAGTAATTTGTAAAACGCCTTAACTAAACCAAATAGGAGTGTAAGTTCTATTACGTGTAGGGTCCCTGAAATCTATTATTATTTTTTTCTATAAGCTTTACTATAATGGCTTTATTTTATTCTGAACATCTGTTTAATATATCTTTTTATTTTTTTTACCCTTCCTCTCTTCTTAATTTTTTCCTTATTTCACTTGGGTTTGACAGCTTGGTCTACTCCTTTGATGCATTTTTTTGCATGTTTAAAAAAAATTTATTTAGTTATTTTTGCAAACATCAGTGCTTTGGAATTCTCTCATACCTTTAAGTTTTTCTTACACATAAAATTAAAATTTTTTTCAGTCGTTTTTTCTATTTTTTATTTACTGTTAACACCTAACTTGAGAGTGGATTTATTTAATGTTAACACCTAACTTGAGAGTGTGTTTGTCTAAAAATGTTTAACAACTAATATATAATAAATTAAACTAATGTTTAAAAACTCTTTTTTATCAATTAATCAAAAGATCTTGGAAAAAAAAAGATGTTTAAAATGCTTAACTATTTGCAAAAAAAATAAATAAATAAATAAATAAACAAAAGTATAAATTATCATATATTTTCATTATTATAAATTCATAAAGTTTTAGTTTGTTTAAACATAATATGTATCAACTGGCAATTCAAAAAATGCTTTAAAAATAATATTTAAGTTTTTGTATTAGTAACTTTTCTGCATTTTTTATTTATTACTTTAAAATTTGCGGTAGTGGTGTAGTGGTAGAGCGCTCGCTTCATAAACGAGTGGTTTCCGAGTTCGATCCCCACCACATCCCTGGTAGTACCGCGCTCAACTCGTTTCTCCGCGCAGCGGCCTTGTTCGTCAAGGTTCGTGTTTCGGAGTTATAGAGTTGAGAGAGGGTTATAGCCACAAAATAAGTAGCCTCCTCGTTTGTATTGGCCTTCTCGGCCTTGAGGAGGTGAAGTAAAATAAAAAAAAAAAAAAAAAAAAAAAAACAACTATTTTGAAAAGCTATAGGGTTGTTTCCACACCTAGCGTGAGTCGACACTTATTGTAGGTTTTAAATACTAACATAAATTTTGCACTAAGTAGTAATTATTTTTTTTACATATATATTTTGTTTATCAACAACATCATCATGCACTTCTATTACAATACATAGAAACCGCAATACATAGTTACTTATATAAACTCAGTGGGCTTATTACGTCAGCCTATGAAAATCCTTTTTTTTTAAGTACCAGCTGTTAGAAGCATTTCAAATAAAACAAGATAATTTAAGAAGATAAGATAAAATTTTATTTCTAAATTGATTTAATAAGATAAATAAAACATGGATCATTATTAATGTTATTAAAACCACTCATCATTATAGTATCAATGTAGTATTTTTGAACGTACGATAAGTATGAACTAAAAAAATGTCATTCCATACATATCGTATGCCCAATAAATAATCAATTTGTTTCTTTTTTACTATGAAAATAAAAATTTCATTTAGATTCTTTTACAATGGCAAGACAAAAATATTAGACAAAAGTTTGTAGCTCAAAACGAACACTTCAATATACAGATAGCCAATTAGGAGATGCTATTAATGCTTTTAAAAAAAGCATGGTTGTGTACAAAGCAAGCAAGACATTTGGAATTCTTTATCAGATGCTTCGTGATAAAATATCTGGAAAAACTTCTCTGAAGATACAACACTGCGGTTATGAATCGGTACTAGGTGAACACAATGAAAATAAATTAGTCAAGTGGTTACTAACATGCACCAGAATGGAATTTGCCATGTCTGTAGTACAGCTATTAGATACTGTGCAAAAACACTTGAATTCCAACAAAACACAATTTACTAACAACTGTCCTGCAAAAGGTTGGTTTTATGCATTTCTTCGCCGTCACGAACAGTTATCTCAAAAACCAGTTGAATACTTAAACCAAGCTAGAGGAGGAGTAACTGAAAAAGCCATAAGAGATTAGTTTACTGAAATTCCAAAGCTTTTAGGAGAAAACGCTCAATATTTAAATGATTCGATGCGCGTTTTCAATATGGATGAGAGTGGTTTTTAGTTGTCACCAAAAACTAATTTATTAGTTGGTGAACGAGGAAAAAATACTTATGAAGAAAGTGCTCGAAGTAATAAAAAAAGCATCACCACTTTATTTGCAGTAAATGCCAGCGGAACTTTTGCTCCACCATTAACAATTTTTAAATATGTTCGTCGTCCAAATAGAATTATAAATACTGTTCCATCAGGATGGAGTATTGGAAAAAGTGAAAATGGTTGGATGACAGCAGAATGTTTTTATGAGTATATTACAAACATTTTTCATCCATTTTTGATAAAAGAAGAAATTCCTTTACCAATTATTATTTTATTTGATGGTCATGCGTCACATTTTTATATCGAACTTAGTGAGTTTTGCTCTAAAAATGGAATAATTCTTGTTATTTTGCAGCCGCTCGATGTGGCAGTTTTTGGGCCAATGAAAGCAAAGTGGAAATCTTTATGCCGACAATGGCGCATTGACCATGAAGGACAAGAAATAAACAATGAAAATGTACCAGAAGCATTAAATTCATTTATAATTGATCCTTCTATGGCAAATAATGTTAAAAGTGGTTTTAAAAATACCGGAATATTTCCATTTGATGCTAATAGTGTGGACTACACAAAAATTGTTCAAAGACTATCTGAGTCAACTGTGGCTTCGACTCCTTATTTAGAAGAGAATCAATCAAGTGTGACTTTATCAGCTTCCTCTCCCATAAACTTTATTGAAAACTTCATTGACCCAAGTATTTTAGAGCAGTTTAAAATAGCTGACGAACATTTAGGTTGGAAAGGTGACCTTGAATATTTCCAGCTGTATCTTTTTTGGAAAAGAGCCTCATCTGAAACATATAAGACCACAATTTTACCTGATGAAATACAACAGGGTAATAAAAATCTATCAACAACTTGTAATTTAGAAAATGTGCAAATTATAACCAGTATGTAAATACCTGATTGCAATATTGCAGCGGATATAGAATCAAAAGCAGCTTGTTCTAGTTTGAAAATAGCAGCAGAAATCATAAGTCCAATTGAAAGTGTTTTAATATGGCCAAAACAACCAGTCCAAATGTCCAAGCGCAAAATAGAAGGTTTACCATCGGTTGTAAAATTTGAAACGTGGCAGCAAATTCAAACAAGACAAAAATGCAAGAAAAGTCACAAATAAATGATAAAAAATTAAGAAAGAAACAATTAGCTGCAGATAAAAATTCAAAAATAGAAAAAGAAAGATTAAGAAAAAAACAAATAGCTATTGAGAAAAAGTTATTAAATGAAAATGTTTATTTAATACCAGGGTTGCAAAAAAAAACGTTTTTTTTGAAAAAAATTTAAAACCATAGGTTTTTTTAAAAAAACCAAAAAAACCATGGTTTTTTTGGTTTAAATTAGGTTTTTACTAAAAAATGCGGAATTTAGTTATCCTTTTAAATTAAAAAAAAGCATAACGTATTTTATTTAAGTAAACTATATTCTTTATCAATATTATTGTTATATTTCACCAAAATTATTAAATATATTATTGTTTAATGTTCTATATATAAATACAAGCTTTGCTGCTTTTTCTACCCCAATCGGTTTTTTAACTAAGAATGAACAAGACAAAAATTGAAAAAATTCTTTTGATTCCAGCACTAGAAGCTGGTGCATTTAATAAACCTTCAATTTCCATTATGTTATAGTAGATTTGGCTTTTAATTTGAGTAATATTGATTACAAATTCTTGAACTCTTTATCTGCGAAATTCATGGCAGCTTCATTTTCATTTTTAGAAAGATTAGATCCAAAATATCTAGGATCTAGTGTGTTTGCCAGGAAATGAGCATCACTGACAGTCTGAAGGTATCTAGATTCAGTTTTTTTTTTAAATGATAAACTGTTCATCAAATCTTTAAAAATTTCAAGAGTCACTTATTTTTGTTTGATCTCTTTGCAACTTATCTAGAGTTACTGCAATTGGTTTCAATATTTTCAATAAATCTTCTGTGTTTCGCTTTATCTGTATATCACTTACTTTTTTACCAATCACGGGATCCAAGTCTTTATTTTTTTCAAACATTGTAAAAATAATGCTCCAGTTGTTGACATATTTTTCAAGTGAATCACATACAGAATTCCAGCGAGTTTCAGTACTAAGTGGCAATTTTGTTCCTCCGCTTAATATATAAATTGCCCCAGCTTGATGATTATTTCTTATATATTTTATTATTTGTGTAACATGCTTGCTCACATTTTCAATGTTAAGATCATTTGCTAAAAGATTCAGCATATGAGCAGCACACCCATAAGTTATGATAGTATCTCTTTCAGATGACAATACTTGTCTCATTGATTTCACATTAGCTGCATTGTCAGTCACAAAGCTTTTTACTGTGCACCCAAATTTACGCCTTACAAAATCTATTGCTTCTCTTGCTAATTGTGTAAGATATCACCAGTATGACCTGAAGTGTTGATTGTTTCTAATAAAATGTTAATTTTATCTGTAATTACAGAGATACAAACTATAGGTTCAATATGTACATTACTTCAGCCATCTAAAGACATGACTACAATTTTTCCATTCAATACATTACATTTTTCAATTTCTTCTGTGTAAACCCTATCTAATAATTCTCCTCCAATTTCAGTTCTATTAGGTAGAGTGTATCGTGGACGAAGCATATTGATTAATTTTTTAAAAAAATATATTGATAAATTTTTAAAAAAAAACAAAAACAAAAATCATGGATTTAAAAAAATATAGCTATATTGAAGATTAGTTATATTTGTGAGCATAACCCTGCCTTAGTTTCCTGTTGTAAGTTTAAATCTTTTTAAAAAGACATTAGTTTGGTTTAAACCAACATTTTTTTAATTGGTTTAAACCATGGTTTAAACCATTTGGTTAAAACCTTGTTTAATATATATATATATTTTTTTATATATATTAATGTTTATTTAATATATATTTTTTTAATTTATATACCTAAAAAGGTTTAATAAAATGTTACTAATGCATTAAATTTTCATTTGAAACCGCGAGCGCGTTATAACCCAGTCACTGTCTATCCTATCAGTCAAACTTAAAAACAACCAAAAATGAGTATATATATATATATATATATATATATATATATATATATATATATATATATATATATATATATATATATATATATATATACTCATTTTTGGTTGATTTTAAGTATATATATATATACAAATTGCATACTAAGGTAAGCAATCTGACGTCATACTGAAATAGCCTGCTGCTTTTTAGGCAAAGGCTAAGAGATGCAAACTTCAACATAAAACACCCCCTGCCTTGGGGCTCTTGGTTGAGTAAAGGCTGGAGATGGTGTTTTGATAAAAATACTCATCTTGGGCAGATGTTACATGCATCCGGCTGCTGTCTTGTAGAAGGCCTCCTAGGCAAAGACTTAAGGGGTAAACAGATTCTATTTGTTGACCAGCCTCACACCCCTTCTTTATCTATTAGGCTAGCGCAGATGTATTTTTAATACATTGTTTCGAGTTTAGAATGTTGAATGCTGGATCTTCTTGAATCAATTCATGGGTTTTGCTTTTGTCTCAGTTTTTATGACTAGGCAACTCATTCTATTATCTCCAAATGAGGGTACAGCTCTAAAACTCAGTTTTATGGTTCTGAGGCCGGCTGGTAGTCAGGTTTCCCGAACTCTGTGGTAGCTCTCAGAGAGGCTGATTCCATCAACAGCTGAAAAATATCAGAGTACTAACAGTGCCATGTTGCGCATGGATGGTGTCCCTGTTTGTATTTTTGGTGTGCATTGCCAAGGCCACATTGGAGCCCTTTGTTACGGCTTAGGGTTTATTAGTGGAAATGAGGCAATTGCTTGGGCTATAAAACAGTGTACTGAGTACTATCTATGTTTCGAGTCAAGTTCTTTAACAAATTTAAAAATGAATAAAGTAACAAAAACTATAAAACACAAAAAACCACAGTCATCACCAAGTTCGCTAAACCTATCATTCACCAATATTGGTGGTCTTCCAAGTAACTTTTCTTCTGTTGAGTCTTATCTCTTGCAAAGTTCACCAGACCTACTTGCTCTTTGTGAGACTAATTTGTGTTCAGCTGTGTCATCTTGTGATCTTAGTGTTGATGGTTATTTCCTTTAATTCCTTTAAGACTCCAATAGTCACATGTTTGGACTGGGCATTTACATTCGTAAGAATTCACCCATTTGTCGGGAAACTAGGTTTGAATCCACAGATTACTTTTTTATGTGCTTTCGTTTAGCACCACTTTTCTCTATCACCTTTCTCTTTGTTCTATATCGCTCTCCCTCATCTCAAGACTGCACTCTTCTTGATGTTATTTCTGATTATATTGACCAAGCCCTCATTCTTTATCCATCAGCCAATATTGTTGTTGTTGGTGACTTTGATGTTCATCACACTGAATGGCTTTGCTCTACTGTCAGTGGCTCTGCAGGCATTAAGGCCCACAACTTTTATCTTTCTCAATCCCTAACTCAAATAGTCAACTTTCTAACTTGCTTTCCAGACAAACCGAATCATTTACCTTCTCTACTCAACTTTTGTCTTGTTTCTGATCCTAGTCAGTGTTTAGTTTCTTCACACTCACCCTAAGGTGCGTCTGATCATGGTTTGGTCGCTCTAAAATTATTATCTCATTCTTCTTCACCAACAGAATCCCCCTATCATTGTACATCTTACAACTACCTTAAAGCTGACTGGGACTCTTTCTGTGATTTTCTTCGTGATGGCCCTTGGGTAGAAATCTTTCGTCTCCCTGTTGACAAATGTGCTTTTTACATAACTTCGTGGATTCAGGCTGGCATGGAATCCTTTATTCCCTCTCGATAATTCTAGGTCAAGCCTCACTCTTCTCCATGGTTTTCCTCACATTGTGCTGCTGCAATTGCCAATCGAAACCATTACTTCCATATCTATCAGCTAAACAATTCTCCAGAAAACATACCTCTGTTTATTACTGCTAGGAACCATTATAAAAAAGTTTTGTCTAATGCCAAAGCCTGCTATTCTCAGATCATGAAATATCGTATTTCATCACTAAAATTAGGCTCTCGTGACTTCTGGAGAATCTTTAATAGTATCAATAATAAGGGCAAGTCTGTAATTCCACCTCTTTTGTATGGTTCAGACTTTGTCACCTCACCTAAAGACAAAGCTGAATTGTTTGCCAAGAACTTTTTATCAATATCATCTCTTGATGCCACTAGTTGCGTTCTACCTGATATAGCTGTCAAACAGGTTGATCCATTGCTCGACATTCATACCACTCCAGCTTCTGTATCTAAAGTAATTTCCCGCTTAGACTCTTCTACAGCTTGCGGCCCGGACAACATACCTGTTATAGTCTTGCAGAAGTGTTCTCCGGAGCTGTCGTCTATCCTTTCAAACCTATTTAACAAGTGCTTATCAGAGTCTTGTTTTTTCTGGATATTCAAAACATTGAATATCCAGAAAAACTAAAATTTGCAAAAAATTAAAAGAAATTCTTAACATCAAACCCTCTACAACAATTAAGTCTTACATTCTCAAGTCTAATGGTAACACTATCTCAGACAGTATGGTTGTTGCTAAAATTTTAAACAAATACTATGAAGCAATACAACACTCACCCAAAAGTAAAATGATTTCTTCTAAAAGTATCTTCTGTGACTATTTAAAAAATCCTAATTCTAATTCTTTCTTTCTTAATCCAGTGACTGAAAATGAGGTGTCTGATTTAATAAAAAATAGTTTACAAAATGGTAAAAGTTTAGGAACAAATAGTATCCCCACACACACTTTCTCAAACTTACTTCTCATGTTATCTGCAAGCCTCTCTTTACCATATTGAATAATTCTTTTAATAAAGGTCTTTTTGCAGATGTTTTTAAGATAGCCAAAGTTATTTCTACTCATAAAATGGGTTCTCTAATGGAACACAGAAATTATAAACCGTTTCTTTTCTATCTAACAGTAAAATATTTGAAAAAGCTATGTACAACAGACTTTATAGCTTTCTTGACAAAAATCAATGTCTTTACAAACATCAGTATGGATTTCGTAACAAACACTCCACAACTCATGCCCTTATTAAAACAACTGAAACTATTAGAAATGCTCTTGACAACAAACTTTTTTGCATGTGGAGTGTTTCTTGATTTAGAGAAAGCCTTTGATTCTGTTGATTGCTCTATCTTCCTAAGTAAATTGGAACACTACAGTGTTGGAGGTAATGCTCTCTGATGGTTTTCATCATATTTTTTTAATAAATCAGCAAATTTTCTCTATCAATGATGCCAATCTTTTCCAATAAAATGCTTCACGGGTGTACCCCAAGGTTCTGTATTAGGACCATTGCTTTTCCTTATTTGAATAAATAATTGTAATATCTCCCTAAAATTTTCAACGGCTAACCATTGTGCTGACGACACCAACTTACTCATAACAAATAAATGATTAAAAAAAATTAACAATGGTCATGTTCTAACAAACTAAGACTTAATACCAACAAAACTGAACTCATTATTTTCAAATCAAATCAATCTAAAATGTATAAAAACCTAAACTTTAGACAAAAAGTGGACAAAAATATTTTATGTAGATTTCATTAGAATATCTTGAAATCCAATATGACTCAGATCTATCTTTTTCCTCTCATCTTAAAGACTTAGCAGTAAAATTGTGTAGATCAAATGGGATGCTAGCCAAAATTTGCCACTATGTCAATTATGAAACTCTACTTAATATATACCATTCAATTTTTGGATCAAATCTTAGTTACGCTTGTCAGGTTTGGGGTAATGCAAGTCTAATGCTTTTTTAAGATTATGTAACCTACAAAATTTAATTTAAACTTTTATTTTAGAATATATATTGTTATTGTTATCGTAAAAGTGAAATTAAAATGTAAATAAGGGAAAACAAATTCTGGATTTTTTGCGGATATTTTATTTAAACAATTTTTTGGGTTTTTAAAATATGACTAGGAAGATCTATGTATGTTGAAAGATAATAGAAATATAAAACTGATGATGATGGTAATTTTAATTTTTTTATATCTTTTATATTTATTTGTTTTTTGTATCTTTTATAATTATGTTTTAGTCTCTTACTTTTTGGGAAATCTATAAAACATATAACTTAAACTCAGAAATTTTAGACTAATTGACCAGTATTTTATTGAGTATAGCAGATATCACTCCACCTTTCAAAGTCAAAGGTTGCTTGTCTTTTAGTAATTGATAAAAACGTTTTGTTTACATTCACTTATTTTGATTACCTTCAACTTATTTTCTTTCTTGTAATTTTTTTTTTAGTTATAAACATTGTTTGTAAATCAATCTGCACTTTGATGTGCACTTGTAATATTGTTTAGTAAGTTATATAATGTAATGTTTGTGATTGAGTTACAAGATATAAATACAAATCTGTTAAAGTAAATAATGTATAAAATTTAAAATCATTGCACTCTGTACTCTAATTGTCATTTTTGGCCTATCAAACCCCCTGACCCATTTTGCTTCTGTCGCATTTGTACAGTGTTTTTTTTTGTTTTTGTGTGGTAGAAACATAAAAGTAAAAGCATGTTTTATAACTTTATAATATTTTTATTTTATAAAATATTAGATGGTGTTGAAATCTTCAAGTTGCATGGCTCAAGTGTTATTGTGGATGGATATTTTGCAAGTACTCATTTGCAATGTTTTACTCAAGTGAAGGTGCAAAATGTTCTTTAAATGAAGTAGTGTTTATTGACACTCCACAATCAGGTATAAAAATTTAATATTATTTACATTCTTTAATATTTTTTGTATTATTTATTATTTCTTGTTATTAAAAAAAATCACATTAACTTGTAAGTTAGTTACAATTTACACCAAAGACACAAATGTCTTTGGTGAAAAACAGTCTTCAGCAAAAACAGTTGTGGAAACATTTTTCTAAATTATTGCTATTACCCTCTCTACTTCTCAATCCCTAAAAATAAGTTCAAGTTAAAAAACATTTGAGCATTCTTCAGTATTGAATCCTAACAAGCTATTTCTACAATAGTGTACAGTACATTTATGGTTAAATGTTTGTGATGAAAGTAATTTGCCTAAACTTTTTATTAAGCAATAATGATTAGTTTCATCATTTGAAATGAGTAATAAATCTATTTGATGTTGTCTGTTTTTATTTTCAGATATTCGTAAAGGATAAACTGAACTTTCGTATCCAAATACATTAACACTTATATTTTGATTATTTTTCTCAAATTGAGTAATTTCATATTCATATCCATCTTTTTAACTGATACATATCTCCAACTTGATCCTAATTGTTGAAATATAATTCTTTTAGATCTCTATCTACACTTTCAGAATTTTTTTCTTTAGTATTAAAAAATCTAGCAACACACCACTTAAAGCATTCATTGTCTTCATTTTTAATATTAATGATTGCTTTTTTAGCTGCTAACTCTTTAGGAAGAGGAATGTAAGATTTACCTTTAATAGGTTTATATTCGATCATATTCATATCCATCTTTTTAACTGATACAAGTCTCCAACTTGATCCTAATTGTTGAAATGTGGATAACAACTCTAAAATTTTATTTATAGCTCTTTCATAGAGTTCATTTAAATCTGTTGATTCTATAACAACTTCTGCTTTTGTTGAAAATGATGCAATAGTTGTTATAGTTTCTCCTGTTTTAAGATCAGTACGCTCCATTTTACATGAAAGAACGATATAGATCTTTGATCCTTTATTGCTATTTAGTATTTGAATGATATTATTTTTAGCTGATTGTATAAAGGATAAAGCATCATATTCTTTAACACCTTTAGCTGAAAATTGCTTTGTCACATTTTTAATAGTTGATTGTGTCAATTTAAATTCTATTTGTTTCTTTTCTCTCTTCTTTTCTTTTTTAGATTCTTTTTTAGGTTTTTTAACATGTTCACTTTTGAATACTACTTTTTCATACAAATTAGAAACTGTCGATTTTAATGTATTAATTTACGTAGTAGCTATTTCTTTAATAGGATTAGGAATATATGACATAACCCAATTTGTTAATGAATTGATTTTATTAAAAAATCTATTAGTAGTATTTGCTATTTTATATACAAAAGAAAATTATTTATCTCATTTTCAATACTTCATTTTTTCTTGTGAAAAAATTAAAATAAAAAAAACTAAAAAATTTCTTTTTTATAGATATAAAAAGTTTATAAAAATAATTTTTTAAAAGAAATTGTTCTACATTTTCTTTTTCATCATCTATTTTAGAATTTATTGCTTCTATTTTTATACCATTTTTAACTTTTTCATTATGCGACTCTAAATAACTATATCCATGTTTTTCCTTTCTGATATAATCATATATAGAATTGTATATTTAAACTTCTCCTGTTTCTACATTAGTTAGTTTAATAGATGCTAGATTTGTTGTAATTTTTGTCAGTCTGTCATATTTAGGATCTCTTTCTTTTTTCTCTTTTATTAGATATTTTCTCGGCCTTCCTATTGGTTTTATATCTACTTTTACTTTTTTAACTTTTTTTACTTTTTCAATCTTTGTTTTTTTTGGTTTTTTAGTAATGATATTTAATTGTATAGATTCTTTATCAATTACATTATTATCCATAGCAATCATAACTAATGCAATGTGATCTTTAGATGTTTGTTGTATTTTATCTTATTTTAGTAGTTTTAATAAATACTTTTTTGTATATTTTATTTTATCACTCATTTTTATATAATAAAGAAAATTAATTTAAATTACTTTCAAATAATTTAAATTGTTATGTTTTTCTTGTATTTTTTTAAAAATATAACATTTTTAAACATTTACAAATCTTCTTTCTCATCTTCTTAATTCTAATCCTGCTTCTACTACTAGTTTTTAATCGTTTTCCAATTTTATTGCTTCTATTCTTTCTTCTAACTCTTCGTAATCTTTTTTTTTTGTTTTAATTTTTTTATTATTATTCTTAATTTATTTAAGTTTATTATTGTTACGTTTAATCTTCTTTTAAATAATTCTATTAATTCTTATTTATTGTCTTTAATTTAAAGGTAAAAATTAATTATTATTATTATTATTGTTCTTTCTAATCTTTTTTCAAAATCTTCTAGTTCTTCTTCTGATCCTTCTAACTCTTCACAATCTTTTTGTTTAAGTTTTAATTTTTTATTAATTTTATAATTGTCAGGCCGAGCTAATTTATAATTTTATAATTGTCCGAGCGAATTTATAATTTTATAATTGGCCGAGCGAATTTATAATTTTATAATTGTCAGGCCGAATATTTTCTGATAACGATTTTATTAGTTCTAAAATTACTATTTCAATTTTATGGAATACAGTTTTAATTACTTCTTCTGATTCTTTTTCATAATCTTCTAATTTTTTTAATAATATTTTTTTATTTCCAATTAATAATTCTTCTAAACTTTCTAAATCTTCTTTTTTATATCCGTTTCCACCACACACTCCTACTATATTTTGTAATTGATTCATTCTTTCTTGATCAAATACTAATTCTGATCTTGATTAAATCTTTCTTCTAAATCTTCTAACACTTCTTCTTCAAATCTTAATTGATCCAATTTTTTTTTTAACAGTTTCTAAACATGTTATTTTTTTTAATTCTCTATCATAATGTTCTATTTCTGATACTTTTACATTAAATAATAAATATGACATTAATCTAAATCTATCTTTTATTCCGCATTTTTTCATTTCTTCTTTTAATATTTTCTCCCCTACTAATAGCTCTAATTTTAATTCTTCTAATCTTAATTCTAATTCTTCAAGTCTGCTATTTTTTCTAATCTATTTTCTAAGATTAATCTTTTTGAATTTAATGAATTTAATTCTACTTCATCATCTATACTTTCTTCAAACATTACATCATCAAAAAATGAAATTAATTCTTTTATTTGGTTTAATCTAATTTCGATCTCATCTTCATATCTTAAATCTAATAGTCTTTCTTTTTTAATTTTAATTCTAATTTTAATTCTTTTATTGTTTTTTAAGAAATTTTACATTTTTCTTTATACAATTCGTTTTGCATTTCATTTTCCATTTTTTTTATATATGCAAGAAAATTATTTAACTAATTTTCAAATAGTTTAAATTGTTGTACTTTTTTATTTATCAAGTTATTAATATACAATGTTCATTTTATTTCTGCCTGATCGAAATTGCATCATTCTATCAGATATTAAAACAGCCAATGCTTCAGTACCTGCTGGAACAGCTGCATTAAATGTTGCTTTAATTTGAACATCTACTACTGATGATTTTAATCTTTCTGATTGCTTACTCACATCAAAAACCATAAGTGGGTATAAATCTTTATAGTCAGCAGGAGTTATTTTGCTTTGTGTGATCAGTTCATTCATTCCATAAAATTTTTCACTAAACGTAGATGCATCTCTATAAGCTCTTGAAAATTGTTGATTTGAGAATAATAAATTATAATCAACAGCAGGATATCTTTCTTGATTAAGCATGATATACATATTTTTCACAATGATCAAATATTGAAGGATTGAGTTCTTGATTTCCATCTTTATTTGTTTGGAATCCAACAATAATATATTTTGGTTTTTCAGTAGATGTTTTTACACTCAGTCTCCAAGTAAATGTAGTAGATTGTAGAACTGTCGTGAACGAAAAGTTACTGGAAGTGTCACTTTTGATTCAATAGCTTTATAAAGATTATTTCTTTCTACATCTGATGGAATAGCATGTGGTATAAACAATGATATTTTATCAAAATTAACTTGTCCAGCAGCTACAGCAGCAACTCTAAAAATTGCATCATCGTCACTTTTTCTAACAAGAGTTAGTGTATGTTTAAATCCATAAATAACTTTGTTGTAATCATCACAGAATCCAAAAATGTGCTTTAGAGGTATGCTAAATGAAAATGTTTCTTTTGTAGTTGGTTTCTGAACTATGTAAGCTTGTCTTATTGCAAATCCTGAGTTATCAGCAAGTACTCCTGTTGTTGCAGAATCTTTATACCACAATTGATTTTATCCTTGTGCTAATTGAAAGTCATTTGGGTATTTGAGCATTCCTAACATTGTAGTTGCTTGACCTGGATGATAAACTGATTCTACTTCTTGGTTTGATAATTGGTATGTTATTTGACTAAACAAGTGCATAATACCATTGTTTGTAAGTGAAACTGCATCTGCATTAGCATAAGCAGTTCCATCAGCTTTAAGAGATCTTCCTTCAAACAAGAGAAAAGCTTCAGATGGAAGTGTAAACAGATCTTGCTGTTCAATGTTGATTATTTTTTCTCCTTCCCTATTTAGATTTGTATGAGCTATTGGCTCATATTCATGGAATTCATATCTTTCAATTCCTTCATCTATAATTGGGGTTTCTGTAAAATTTAATATGTCAGAAATTGCCATTTTTTATATAAAAAGATAATTTTTTTATATCATTTTCTAATATAAAAAAATATGTCATTTGCTACTAGATATGGATCTACGCTAATCTTAATCCACATCCTTTTTTAACTAAATCTTCTATTCTAATTGCATTCGCATTTGAAATTATCTTTGTACGAAGCATGGATCTTTCAGATCTAGAATTTATTGCTGATCTCATCATTTATTGATATTTGTTACTTCATCAGATCCAGATTTAATCAAATTTGAAAGTATTTCTTTACTTTTAGGTGAAATTGTTTTATTTGATGCTTTTTGAATTAATTGTTTTCCTTTGTCTATCGCAACATCTTTAGCAGCCGATTTGCAGTAGTAGCAAGTTCTTTTCCTGCTGACTTTGCAGCAGTTATTGGAGTTTTTCCTAAGTCACTAGCAGCTAATCTATTTAGCATAACAAATGATACTTTTGTTACATTTGAGGCTGCTACTCATTTAAATAAATTTTTAATGCTATCAAATATTCCACTTCCACCAATAGCATGTTTCTTCATATATCTCTTGTTCTGTACAATTAACATTTTATTTACTATACATATTTTTTTAATTTATTTTTATCTCAATCCTTCGGATCTCCATAAATCTCCATAAAACAAATTCTGTATTGCTTTATACTCTTCAGCATTGATTACACATTGTTGTTTTAATTCATCAGAAATTGCAACAGCTTCATTTCTAGTACCAGTATTTCCTGCTTTCCACGCAGCTATACGTAATGTAAGCATTTCAGTTAGTGCATCTGGATCACTAGGAAGAATTATTACTCCTTTTCCAGATTTTCCAGTTATCTCTTCCCAAATAGGTTTTATTATCTCTTTATATTTTTCACTTCTAGATGATCTAGGTTTTCCTGGGTATTTACTAGAAGAAATAGCATCTGTTTCTTTCATTATGTTTTTATAATCTTCAAGATCGTCTTTATTATATATATTTTTATCAGGAATAGCTTTTTATATAGCAAATAAAATAAAATAAAAAGTGTTGACAGAAGGTTTTAAAAGTTGAAAGTGAATTGTTACTTGAAACTGAAAAAATAGTAGAATTATATAGCAAGCAGGTTGACAAAAGACTTCAAAAGTTGAAGGTTGTATGAGTCAGAAAACATGAAGATGGGAGAGAGTTAAAGTGCAGAAAAAAACAAGACAAATAAAAGTTATTATCTTTTATTTGTCTTGTTTCTCAATCTCCATCAACTAAAACTTGTTCTTGTTTGACTCGTAATTCAGCAAAGCCTTATCTTTTTACTGTATCAGCCCCTGCAGAGCATGGAAAAGAAGAAGAAAAAATGATTTGATAATTTCAAAATCTTTTCCAGATACACCACATGAAGCAAGCAGAACTTTATAACACCACACCAAACTTTATTGAAAGCTTTAGATATATCCAAAACTCGATTGTCTGACAGTAAGTTATTTGACTCCAGATGGTATTAGAATGATCAATTACTCAAAGACATTGCTAACAACAGATAGAAGACTGATTGGACAATAGTTAGAGAGCTCATAATGATTTCCAGAAATTTTAAAAAAATTTATATGCCACCGAGTGATTGGATAAAAATCTTGCTTTTAACTCTATTATTGAAGATCACGTGGATTAGTTTCTAGTTTTTAACAAAATTTGTAAAGAATTTTTAAAAAATATATACAATCAGGGTTGCTACTGGTCATGGAAATCATGGAAATGTTACGGAATTTCATTCCAGGTCTTGGAACTTTTTAGAATAATCTTTTTCTTCTAATGATATTTTTAAAATAATTGTAAAAAAGAATTCACATTTTGACAAAAAGTCTTCTTTTTTGGATTGGTTAGAACAGGCAGCTAGACTTTAATCTGTTCTTCCATCTGTAACAGCTTGAGGCTTGCAGTTTCCTTTTGATTTTAACTTCAAAAATTTCCTGGGGAGAAAACAAATAAAAAAATTGCATTCACAAAATTTGCTATAACTTATTGGTAGGTGTAGTGTTATTGACAGGCAACAGTTTCCTATTACCATTTTAAATGCTGTACTTTAAAGTGAAAGTTAGTGAGGGCAATAAAAGAGTTTTTTGTCCTAATCCTTAAGTGTTTTTTTTTTACAAAGTTAAAAAAACTGATTATAGAACCATAAAACTGAATTATAGAAAACTGAATTATAGAACTGTATTTTCATTAGGAAATAATAGAATGAGTTGTCATAAAAACAGAGAATTAAGCAAAACCCATGCATTGAGTCAAGGACATACAGCATTCAACATCCTGAACCAGAAACAATTTATAATAAATACATCTGCCTAAAAGATGAAGAAGGGGTGCAAGAAGAAGGCTTGTTAACAGATAGAATCTGTTTACCCCTTAAACTTAAACCACTTTACCGCTTGTTAGAACAACCCTTGCAATGCACTTTTATAAAGTGTAATATATGTTAAAATTTGATGACATAATTAAAGAAATCTTTTTTTTCTTTAGTTTGACTAATATAACAATCATCAAAATGGCCAGTTGTTATATTTTTTGCATTAGATATTTTTATTGCAACTTTTGCTTTCTCTTTCTTATCTATTTGGATGTTTCAAAGTCTGCTAGTTTCAAAATGGCCCTTGCTTTGTTTTATAATCTTTTCCTGAAAGAGAAACTTTTTCAATTATTAACAAGCATAAAACTAAAATATAATAACCTTTTGAGATATTGAGATATTCCAACAATTTTTTCAGTTTTGTATAATAATAAATTAACAATTAATAAAATAACTGTTTAATTTAAAGTATTTTAACTTTTTGCTTGTTATTTGTAACTGTTTGTTAATTATTTTAATATTAGTTTTATGCTAAAAAATTTAAAAAAATGTCCTCAGCCTCCATAAAGTAACTTGATTAGATATATAAGCAGCCATTTTGTTTAGATACGTGCTCTAACTAGTGAAGGAAAAAGATTAGCAGCTTATTTGACAGGAACAACAAATACTCTTGGTATTTTTTGTTATCATTAAATTATACATTACACAAAACACAATAAGCATAATTTAATATTTTGAAAATGCATTTTTACATCTTGAAAGCAGGATATAGGCACTAGACGTGGTATAGGGCACAGCCACAGACATGGCATAGGGCACAGGCGCAAAGCTGGTTAAAAAGACAAAAGCTTTGAAGTAAAAGTAATTTTTATTAATTCATTTAAACAAAAATCTCTATTTTATATAAATATAAATTTAAAGTGTTTGTGTGTGTAAAAGACTAGACATCTCATAATTATTAAACAATGTACAATGTTGAGTAATAACCCATAATTTAATATTTTGATTTGGATGTGAACTTCTTAAAAAGATATTGAAATAACTATTTGTTTCTTTGATTTTGAGTAATTGTGTATCTCTATATTACTGATTTTTTGTTTTTGTTTTTGAGAAGATTAAGAACTAGAAGTTAAAGTATTTAGAGATTCAAACTGACACAGTTATAACATGATAATCATCATCATAATGATGATTATCATATCTTAAATTTTTAATATTATATATATTATATATGGTTTATTTTTAAATAGTACTAAAATATAAGTTTACTACTATTTATGACAAACACAGTATAAAATATTATTTAAGTTTGAAAAATACACTGTGTAAGGAAGGCAGGGTGGCCAGCAGTCTTTAAAAACCTGGAAAAGTCCTAGACAAACACATATTTTAGCAATAATTTCTGGAAATCCCACAACTTTTTTTTCTTAAATAGTTCAATATTTCATTATCATGTTTTTATCTTTTACAGAGTTGTTATTAATTTTGCATAGATTTATACTGAATGTTGCTGTTAGTATTATTAACATCTACTATATAGTTATTTTTCATTTTTATATTTTTTCTTAAATCAAAATTTTTTATAAGATAATATTGTTTAAGTTTTTATTATTAGATTATTTTGCACCCTCACCTCCTCAATTACATGTTCATGGTAAAACAGAGATTTCTATTGAGTGGGATCCTCCTAAAAATCTTCTTGGCAGATAAAATTATTATGAACTTAAAATGGATAACATGGTTTGTTGTTTTTTTATGTTTTTCTACTTTAATTTGTTTTTAGTTTGAAATCTAAGAAGAAATTTTCTGATTCTTAGTAACAGTAGTTGTGACATAAATTAAAATTTTCTGATAGAAAAACTAATTTTTCATTTAACACGGAAGGTGTGAACACAGAGGCTATTAAAGTTTTTTGGCTCATCATGCAAAGATATTTATTGTTATTATAGTCTTTGCTTATGCATGTTTTTTTGTGATTTTTGCCATCATTTACATTCTTTCTTATTGTTGTTGTTTTTTTATTTTTCTCACAACAAAAAGCCATATTAAGCTTTGAAGTTAACGGTGAAACCAAAAGTAGTAAAGAGAGTTAAAGAAAAGAAAACTGTTAATAGAAGGCTGTAAATTAAAAACTGCTGATAGAAGTCTGTAAATTATCAGGAAAAAAAGAGTCAGGAAAACATGAAGAGATGTGTGATTTTCAAAAATTTTTAAATCTTTTTATTGCATTTGTAGTATAAGCCTTTTCTTTTTATTATTTTGCTTATTATTATTTTATTTATATGCCTTTTCTTTTTTAGACTAGGTGCAAAAATAAATTGTAAACATAGTTGGACCTGCTCTTGCAGCCAACCTCCAACCATAATCACGTTATCGTAATGTTGCTTCTCTTTCTCTTTTTTACAAATGTTATAATGGGCACTGCTCTAAAGAGCTATCAATTCTTGTGCCATCTACAAAAATTCATTCTTGTGTTACTTTGTCATTCAGTTAAGTCTCATCCTTTTTCTGTGACTGTTCCTAAGTGCAATAAAATCTCTTATTCATCTAGTTTTTTTCCTCAAACATCAATTTTTTGGAATTCACTTCCTTTATCTTGCTTTCCTGATCTTTTAAGTTGTCTGTCAATCATTATCTTGCTCTATAAACTTCAAATTCTCTTCCGGTAACTTCCAACTCTTATAGTGGTTGTTTGCAGCCTTGTTGGAAATGAAGATGTTGAGAAAAATCTTTTTTGAGCTCTTAGTATACTTGAAATCCTTTTTCCTCTTTTTTTCCCTATAAAAGCTTTACAGTAACTATATTTAGTTATATTTGAAATTTGTTTTTAGTTTTAAAATGTTATTCTGAAGTGAAAATATAAAATTTCAGGTTTCAGCTTGGATGAGTGAGGGTAGATGCGAAAGTTTACCCAGAACACGTCGAATCAGCAAGCAATGTAATTTGTTTCAATATATCCAAATATTAATAATGATATAAAAAGTATAATTTTTTTCAGTTTTAAAATCAGATTTGAATTCTCTGACTGTTCTATTACGTGCTTTCGTTTAGCACCTCTTCACTTGATTACCTTTTCTACCCACTTTTTGGTGTTCTTTCTACTCAAATTAACCAAGTTTTTTTATTCTTTATTAATTTGCTAATGTTGTTGTTATTGTTAACTTTTATATTTATCAAACTCATTGGCTTGGCTCTAGACTTTGCAGGTCTTAAATCTAAAAATAAATTTTATTTAAATCTCTTACCGATAATAAAGTTGACAACTGCAAACTGGAATGTATTTAAAAAGTGTTTAAATACCTAAAAGTATCATCTACAGTAAGGATGGCCAAAGTCTTTATGACAAAGGGCAAAAAAAAAATCACAAACATCTGTGTAAAATGTAAATGATTACTACAGAAATAGTATTTTTATTTTTATTTTTTTTCAATATTTCTCAATTTAAACAAAAACATCTTTTCAATTATCTAAGTATAATAACATCTGTGCAACTACACCTGGAAGTTTTACAGATGTAGTTACATCTTTTCAATTAAGTTAAGAAAAAACAAATCTGTACAACTACATCTGTAAATTCTGATGACGTAGTTACATTTTTTAAATTATATTAAAAATAGTTACATGATTTTATAGAATTATTAAATTATAATGTGTTATATTAATCAAATGCGGTAGTGGTGTAGTGGTAGAGCGCTCGCTTCATAAACGAGTGGTTCCGAGTTCGATCCCCACCACGTCCCTGGTAGTACCGCGCTCAACTCGTTTCTCCGCGCAGCGGCCTTGCTCGTCAAGGTTCGTGTTTCGGAGTTATAGAGTTGAGAGAGGGTTATAACCACAAATAAGTAGCCTCCTCGTCTGTAGTCGGCCTTGAGGAGGTGAATTAAAATAAAAAAAAAAAAAAAAAAAAATCAGATGTAGTTACATATATGATTTTTTTTTCAGATGTAGTTACATCTGGAAAAAATTATTAAATAATAATGCATTATTTTAACCAGATTTAGTTTCATATAAGTTTTTTTTCAGATGTAATTACATCTGTAGGAAATTCTTCCAGATGTTATTGGCTTTTGTGAAAAATTACAAGACGTAGTTACTTCCATCGAAAGATGTTGTTAGGGGTCGTTGATTTTCCAGATGATATTGGACAGATGTTATTAGAGTAAAAAAAATACAGATGATCTTGGACAAAATTGCACAGATGATCTTGGACTAGTCCACAGATGTTTTTGGACAGGTGTAGTAATCTTTTATCCAAATTTCCAGAATGCTTTCAAGAGAAATAGATGGCAGAGAGCTTTTGATCATGTCTGTCACCAATAGCTGTACCAGTTTATTTTTCAATCTTGTGTGATTATTAATTTCTATAATCAGGGTTGGAATCAAATATGTATTTTTATTTGGTAGTTATAGGGTAAATTGGCGTATTTGTATTCGTATTGCATTTGATTTAAAAATTTCCTAAAAATTTTTATTTGCATTTGATTGAAATGTATTTTTTACAGTGTTTTTCCCCAAAAAATCCAACCGTAAACAAGATTGACTGGTGTTTATTTGGGAAAAATCTAAGATATTTGTTTTTTTTTTTCTCTTTTTTTTAAACACTAAAATAAGCTAAAATTTAGTTTTTAAAGGATAATTTTTTATGTTTTAAATTTAAATTGATATTTATAAAAGACTTGTCTTCATTCTTCTATTTAGCATACCATTTTATCAATATTGTATTAAAACAAATCTATGTTTTTTTTCAAAACTAATTTACAAATAATTGTATTTGGAAAACGCCAATTACATATATTTGTACTTGAATTAGTATTTGGAAATCTGAAATTAAAGTATTTGTATTTGTGTTTGACCATGTCTATGATTATTAATTTGGTGTTTAATTGCTGATATATTCATTCTGATATAAGGAATAGTTGATAAAAAGTTTTATTATTTTAAACTTTGAAATCTGCAAAGTCATTGTCAAATAATTGTAAAAGTTTCGATATGGCGGCTTTTTTATAACTCTACTCAACTTCTACCTCTAAAAAGTTTTTTGTTGTTGTTGTTGTTATTGTTATGCGTGTTATGTCGTTGTGTGTCTTTTATTAATAAATAATGATGCATTGTAATGCTAACTTTATTGGTAACTTCTATTTAGATTTTCTATCTAACGGTTAAATTTCTTGATCTACTCCTAACTCGGTTTAAACTCTTGATTTACTATTAAGCCAGTTTTGATTTTTTATCTACATTTTATTCGGTTTCAATTTTTTTATCTACTTCTAACCCAGTTAGTTTTACTGGAGATTCCTGGTATCGAAGTGGTTTGATGTGTTATTTGAATATTCGATAATCAAATTATTTGAATAAACATTTTGTGAAAAGTTCAATTAAAAAATTAAAGATAATCTGGTAAAATTTTTTAATTTTGTTGATTCTTGAGTCGTGCACTTTTTTTTTTTGTGGCATAAACATTAGAAATAAAGTTTTATGATGGTTTTTGTGGCATAAACATTAGAAATAAAGTTTTATGATGGTTTGCATTGATCATTTTTATATTATTTTCATTTCGATCTGTTTCAATTACAAATTTTGTAGGTTTATCAGGCCGCTATGCAATAAGGGTTTGTCCATAAATAACGTCACGGAATTTTTTACCGTTTTTTACCTCTCCCTTTCCCCCTCGTTACAACTTCTTAACTCTTTAGTAACAAGTACGAGTCCTTGTTAACAAGTACGAGTACGAGTCCACCTTCTCCTCCCTAAAGCACGACGCAATCTATGGATGACACCTTAGGGGAAAGTATGTTAACTAATTGTTTGTTTGTTTTTTCTTATCAAAATAACTGTAAGAACAAAATTTCTGGCAAACTTCTTACGTCGTGTTTGTAAAAGAATTATAATCTTATGTTGCAATAATTGTGATCATTTAACTTAATTTTTTATTAGTTTATAAATCCGACATATGTCGGATTTACTATTAGTTTATAAACCAAACATATTATATCAGATTTATTATTAGTTCACAAATTTGACATATTATGTTAGGTAAAAAATTACTACATCTGTCCAACTACATCTGTGGAGTAGTCCAAGATCATCTGTACACTTTTGTTCAAGATCATCTGTACTTTACTTTTACTCGTATAACAACTGTCTAATATCATTTGAAAATTAAACGACCCCTAACAACATCTTTAGAAAGATGTAACTACATCTGGTAATTTTTCTCCAAGTCCAATAACATCTGGAAGAATTTTTAAATCTGAAAAAATTTCTATATGTAATAACATCCGGTTAAAATAATGCATTAGTAGTTGATTGATCTTAAAAATAACATCATCTTAAAATCTGAAAATGTAGTTGCTCAGATGTTATTACACATTGATTATTTAAAAAATGTAACCACATCTGTAAAATCCAAAGATGTTGTTGCACAGATGTTATTACACTTAGATATTTTAAAAGATGTAACTATATCTGTATTTCATTTAGTTTTTTCTCAGATGATGTTTGGCATCAAAGAAACTTCAGATGTTGTTGGACAAATATTATTATACCTCATTATATTTATAAATGTTGTTGGACAGATGTTATTAGACATATTGTTGGACAGATGTTATTAGACATGGCAAAAAACTGATGTTGTTACCCTGACCCTTATGTCGGATTTATTAATGACATTAAAGTTTTGTTATTAAAAAAGTTCGGAAATAAAATAATAAAATTAATTTTTTTTTTTTTTATTGTAGCTACGTTATCGTCTATTTCAAAAAGAAGAATCTCTCTCAAAAAGTAATTTGAATCGCGGTTCAACGAGTTGTTAGTATGCGACTAAATTTAACTTGTAAAGTTAGAAAATTTAAAGTAAAAATTATAATTAAAAATAAAAATGACCAAAGTGCAATTGTTAAATATATGTAAATAATATTTACAGTTATTTATATAAAGTTTAATTTTTCACAAGATGGTATATTGTAACTTTAAAATGTTTCAAGGATGGTGATGAAATTCCAGCAAAAAAAAAACAGAGAGAAAAAAAGAGGTTTGTCCCCAAAAATTCATAAAACTTATTCGTTATAGACGCTATCCAGCTAAATCAGGAAGATAAGTTAAAAATAGTTAAAAACCAATTCCAAATCCATCAGAAATTTGATTAAAACAAATGGGATGAAAAGCTAATTAAAAAACAGTTATCTCAGGGCCGACAACATGGGTTTTAACACAATCGTCAATTTTTTAAAAAAGTCATCTATATATCTAGAATTTTCTTTTATAAAAAATAAGTGGGGGGGGGGGGGAAGGCGGTGTTGTCGGCTCTGTTATCTTCTGGTCTGACAATCAGAAATAAGCATAAGCGTGTCAAGAGACAAAAAATGTTAAAAAAACGGTACCACCGACAATTTTTTCTAATGAAAAGTTAACCCTGCTTATGCGCCCTGTTAACATAAAAAATTATTGAGTTTATAGAACTGTTGTTACTGAAACATGTTTAAAAAAAGAAATTCACTCAATTCATCCGATTATCATTGATAACTACAACATTGAGCATACACCAACTGAATTCTCCTGTGGGGGGACATTGTTATAATTGTCAAAAAAGTTAATATACAAACGAAGAGATAATTTGATGATTTATTCACCTAATTTTTTAGAATACACTTTTGTTGAATTTATTTTTTTAAAAAAATTCAATATTATTGTTGGGTGCATTTATAGACACTATTGCATGGACATAAATATTTTCAATAATATAATGTCTGCATTGCTTCTAAAAATATCTGAAGAAAATAAATCTGTTTTTTTATTTGTTGATTTTAATATAGATTTGATACTATCAAGTAATGACATTGCGACCTGTGATTTTTTAAACTTACTTTGTATTTATAATATTCGCCCTTGCCACAAATTACTGAACACTCTGCTACAACCATTGACAATATTTTTTCTAATTTAATAACTAATGATATTATTTCTAGAAATTTGACAACTTCTGTCTCTGATCACCTACCTCAATTTTGTGTTTGTCCCAATTTCAACAAATTATTTATACCACGGAGTCACAAAATATATTGTAGAAATTTTAAAAACTTTGATTAAGAAAAATATAGATCTGACTTATTAAAATGTGATTGGGATGACGTTAAAAAAAATAGTGACACTAACTCTTGTTTCCATAAGTTTATTACTGAAACAACATCGATTTTGAATCGCTATGCCCCACTCGAAAAGACTAGTATTAAGAGCTTCAAACGTCAATTTAAACTATGGATTAGAAAAGGAATCATAAAATCTATTCAAATAGCAATCTTTTTCAAAAAAAAATGTTAAGATCAAAAGATTTAATAAATATAAACACATTTAAAACTATTTTTAAGCGATATAAATTCATGATAATTACTTTAATTAAACTTAGCAAAAAAATCCATTTTAAAATTTTTTTCAGATAATGTAAAAAATCTTCGCGAAATTCGGAAAGGCATTAATAACGTAATAAATGTCAAAAATTATAACAGCTCATCTTCCAACTGTTTACAAGATAATGATAAATATTTAACTGAACCGACTCTAATCTCTGAAAAATTTAACACTTGCTCATGAACATAAATCCAATATTCATTCGTCTTACGTCAACTATCAAAAGTATCTTAAATATCCAAACTTACATAGTCTACTCTTATCTCCAACAAACATTCCTGAAATTTCATCTCTTACCGGGTGACCACGCAACTGCGTTGCGCTCAAATTTAAGACTCTATCCATGCTTGTAGATATTCGTGGATCTATTTGTTTACAAATTATGCAATGATATTAACACAGAAATAATAAATAAAAAAAACGTAAAATTTTTGGAGTAAAAAAACTTTTTCATGAAACAAGAAATATATCAAACGACGTTTTAAGAAGCCAAAATCACGATCACCTCAGCTTTTAAGGTCTGTCAAAAGAAAAGTCAAGCGAATTCTATTGCGCTCCATCCGCCAGTTGGCAAGGGAAGCCAATGTTGCTAACTCCTCAATGCAAAAAGTTATGAAAGATTTGAATCTTAAATCCAGAGTTGTTGTGACTAAGCATCTTATCACTAATAAACAGAAAGAAGGTAGGAAAGAGCGATTAAAAAAATTGTTTAAATGGCGAAAATCTTACCCTAGGCCTGTGATAATCTTCTCTGATGAAAAGCTTTTCACTGTGGATAAAGTTACTAATCATCGTAACACAAGATACCTTAGTACTTCCAAAACAGTAAACGAAGTCCCTGATAATATCAGGCATTTATTTTCATCAAAAAAAAACAGCTTGAAATTCAAGAAACAGCTTGAAAAAACAAGGAAATTCTGTGATAGTACTTGGC